CACCCCCGGCCCCCGCCCCTGCCGACCGACCTAGGTGCCTTACAGCTGCTTAACTGGCACAGGATGTTTAACCACAGATCTGGGAGCTGGTGGAAACCTTCCCTGGCTCAGCTTCACATGCTTTCCCCAGCCCCCTACCCCACTTCCAGGGTTCACCCCTTTCACCAAGGAGGTTCCGAAGGTGAAAACACTTTTGGAGGTCACACTATCTTTCTGCAATAAAACATTGTATTGTCCTCTTATATAAATAGATAAGGGCTCTCTGAAGCTCAGCATAGTATTTTTCTTCTTAGTGTCACACTGTTTTCTCATGTTCATTATATTCAATTGACACCAAAAAGAATCTATGGGCAGGGGTATCACTTAAATGGAAAATCCCTGATGTTATCTGCCTATGAATGAGCCTGATTTTTAAACCCTATTCTCATCCCCTAAGCTAGCAGTTCTGAAAGTGTCTAGGGACCCCTGGGCCCATGAGGTTAAGTTATTTTCATAATATTAAGACAATGTGGGACTTTTTCACTCTCATTCTCTCATAAGTGTACAGTGGCATTTACCAGAGGCTGCACACATAATACCGCAGAAATAGATGAGCACCCTGCTATCTTCTTTCAAGTAAGACAGTAAGGAGATTTGCAAAAACGTAAAACAATGCTACCCTTCTCAATTTTTGTTTTGAAAAATATTTGTTCACAAAACAATGCTATTTCTATTAACACAAAATGGACTTATTATTATTCTTTTTTTTTTTTTTTTTTTTGCTGAGCCATCCTGCTACCTGTTGGCAGCTCAGTGGCAGCTCAGCTCGGGCCGGGAATTGAACTACTATTGCTCAGAGCTCGCACTCTTGAGCGAGCTCTTAACCAGCTGAGCCACTTGGCTGGCCCAAAATGGACTTATTTTTAAATGAATAAACATCTTTCACATTTTTCAACTTTAATTTTAAATATGGTAATCATTGGTGAACCAACCTCACATAAACAAAGGCCTCCAAAATGTTTAAACATGTAAAAGGGTCCTTAAACCAAAAACGTCTAAGAACCTCTGTACTGAGCCATTTCTAAGTTCAATTTAGACTCACTAGGAAGTTGAGCCTGCTGAAAGGAAGTGACTAGCGTCCATCCACTCATCTGGTTTATGGACTCTTTACAACAGGAGACGGCACCCAAATCAGCCTGAAATTCACTTTCAGAAGCACATGTGAACCATGTCAATCAAACATGAGACGTGACAGAGATCACCCAAGCCCAAATAATCATCAGAAAAATTCCCTCTATAGATCATGTTATTAGCCAATATGAAAATAACTTTACATGGTTTACAGTCTCTCAGCAAACCGTACATCTACCAAATGAAACACCATCAATCTTTTCCAGCTCAACAATCTTTTCCAGTTCACCAAAGTCAGGGAATATTGATCTTAAAGCCTTGGAAAGAAATACCCTTAGAACTACTGTGAACCATTGAAATCCATGGTCAACGAAAGTACCAAGGCAAGGAGATTTCGCATTTCAGACAAAACAAACAGTTAGGCTATTTCTGTAACCACGGAACAACACAACAGTAGGCATATCATTTTATGCATATCCCCAAGTTCCTTCTTTGTGTTGAGAATAGGCTTAGCTGAGAATAGGGCTTAGCATGTACAATTACATGAAATAAACTTTCATAAAATATCATCCTATTTGGTATTCAATATAGGCATCGCAAAACTTGCCTAAGTCATTTTTTTAATGGAAACACAAAAAATAGCATAGGAAAACTGTCCACGGTAAAGCATTTTCCTTACGAATTAAGATCCTTGGGCTCTGGAAGACAAATGACAAGTGGGTTGAAGGCCTATCGGTCTTTGTGTGCCTGGGGCAACCTCCACCCCTGCAAGACTTGATGGTCTTCATATGGCTGAGCACGGGGCTGGCTGTCCATCAGACTACCAAACGCTGAGATGCCCGATAACGGTGATGGACTCTGACACTTACACAGCACCTCATACTTTTTGATCCATGAGAGACCAGCATTTTTCTATCAGGATTCATGAACTGATTCCACTGATGATTTCTTTGCAAATAACTGGAGAGAGGAGGGGCCTTTTCCCAAAGGAGCGCTGACTCACACCTGTCAGGGGTCCATGACTGCCAGAGACCAGTGAGAAGGACCAACCTCACGGGCAAGAGTGTGATCCATTTTGCAAACAACAAAAATCTTAACCATTTCCAGAAACTGCAAGTTATATATCAGGCATGTTTTTAAAACTTAAATGAAATAAACACCATGGAGAACGCTGGGCTGGCTGGGATTTGGCTATGACACAGCAGGCTAGTATCCGGAATTTTCCTCTGGCTCCCTGACACTTTATCTTCTTTCAACATTAGCCCGAATAAGGCGGAAAACCAATCAGGGTTTGCCGTAATGTAACAGGATTGCTCCAGTCGGGAAATAACCTAAATGTCCTACATTAAGAAGACGGTTTAACAAAATATTGGACAGCAATAAAAAAAAAAAGTACTATGCTCCATTATGATGAATAACTGTGATGACTGCAGAGCACTCTCCTATTATAGTCAGAATAAAGGACAGACTACAAAAGCATGTATACATGGCAGGCACGATTATATAAAAATTATGTGTGGAAGGTAATATGAAGAAACAAAAGTTATTTCAGGGTGCTGAAGTTATGACTAGCTCATAAATGATTATTAAGTTTCTTTATTACTGAGATCATTTCCACTTCAAATGGTATCAGTCATAATTTTTTAAGATTGAGTGATTACCAAAATACCATTATTCAATAAAAAAGACTACTTCACTGCCTGTAAATGGACATTTACTACTCTGTCTGCTCAGAATGGACCCCTCCGTCCCACCTCTCTCTAGAAAATGCCCCTTGACCACAAGGTCAAATAGATGCAGCCATCTTCTTAAAGCCTCTGTCACACTTGTTTGGGGCACTTGTGTTCTCCAGTCATGACCCTCTACTGTGATGTTTTAAACTGGGACTTTTCCCTGGCTGAGGACCTAGGGAGTCATGGTCCAGGAAGCTGACAGTGACAAAATGATGCCCATGTGTGAAGAGCAGCCTGTCAGGCCTTAAGTCTCTGGTTCTGATTATCCTGGACACCCACATGGATTCCTACATTTCCTACTGCTTGGTTAGTAAGCCCATCGGTTCCCTATTGAAACTAGTTTGAATTGGCGTCAGTAGATTGCAACCAGCAAGTCCCAGTGACTTTGCAGCCCCACATAATCAATACAATAGAAAATGCAATAAATCCTACCTGGGGAGCTTTGGTGAGGAGAAGAGCAACTTCCGGGTTATTATGGTAGCGGGCAGTCTCCAGCGGAGTCTGGCCTGCCTAAGGAAAGGCATAGGGGAGGACAAGTGAGTACCGGCCACCAACCCTGCACATACATAGCCCAACTGGGACAGCAGCTCTGCACTCAGTCACACCAGCACCTACATGTGCTAAACAAAACATATATGATGTGGTCCTGCTCTTGAGCCTCATCCCAACGAGTGAGCCAAGTCACACCTGGGGACACAGCAAGAGAGAGGTAAGTGCTCACAAGTAAGCAGTAAGTGCTCTAAGAGGCAAAGGTCTGGGGCACTGCCCACCGAAGAATGCTTCTAGAGAAGAGATGAGGGAAGGTGGAAATCAGACGGAGTCAAGGTGGAAGGTTTCAGTTGAGGAAACACAAAGGATCACAAAATCCAGCCAAGCAATGGATTTGCCCTGGAGAACAATGGAGAAGACACCTGGGAGGGCAGTAAGGACCCAGCCAGAGTCTTCGGAACTGGGTTGTGAAGAACAATTAGGAAGCTATGGCCATAATGGAGGCTCAAGGGGAGATTAAGCCAAAAATGAAGAGTTGATAACAGCGGGATTCAAAGAATAGGAAACGTGTTCGAGGCATCATGGGAGAAGTACCACGAGGTACCGCCCAATACAGGTACTAGAACTGTGAGGAGGAAGAAGGGGGAAGCTTCACCAACTGCAACACCCCTGACGCTCCAGACACTCACACAACTCTTCTGCCCTCAGTGCCCTGAGTCTGCTCTATTTCAGGAGGGCAGAGACCACAGACAAGCCTCAAGGAAAAAAGGGTGCCTAGGCTGGTGTCTGCTACAGGATCTGGGAGAGACAGAAAGAGGTGAGAGGGAGGTAGAGAAAAGGAGGAGGGTGAGGGAGGGGGATATTGAGAAGGTAGGAGTGAAATAAGGCAGTTTTGGAGAGGAAGGACTTAGAGTTTTGAGGATGATTAATCTCATGACCATGTGGCCACTGTTTTTGAGGACCACATCTGTACACACTTGTCAGTTTACTTAGACACTCCTGACCTTCATTTTCACACCAGGATGTGCTCACTTCAGCTAGGAGTCTAAAGATGAGCCCTCCGGGCTTATCAACTCATGGGGCTGCTAAGAGCAAGGGTGTCCTCAAGTCCTCTCCTGAGAGCACTAGGGGCTACAGCTTTTGTAGATCTCTACGCTCTTTCAGAGTGAGGCTGGTTAGGCTATGTGGAGTCTGCAGGAGGTGAGGTAGTAACAGGCCCCATACCGGAAAGAGAATGGGGAGGGCTTCAGAAACCATTGCTGCAACTCAACTTACATTATTAACAATGGTCCCATCTGCTCCAGCTTCCAGTAAGATTTTAACCACCTTCTTGTGATTTAGGGAAGCAGCAATATGAAGTGCTGTGTCTCCGGCCTGAAATTAATCAGAAGAAAGCCTGCTCAACCCCATTTGATCATGGCCCACAGCCCTCCAGCTTTTCATCCCATGGCCTGGTGGTGGCTTTTCAAAGCCAATCTAAGATTTGCTGTAGACTGATAGGGGGCCCTTTGCTCAAGTGTTACGTGGTTCTTTTTAAAGACTGTAGAACTAAATGACCTATGCACAAATATCACATTCCTTTCTGGTTGAGAATACCAGAAATTATAGGATTAAGTACAGGGGGCAAAGTAATGGTGGGCTGGGGTTGGTCAGACCTGGAGCCTTACACTGAGGCAGGATGATGGGCAGGTGGCCAGGGGGCCGGTAGGCTAGCCATCCCGGAGCTCTGGACCACGTCCCGCTGCCCAGGCAGGGAAGAGGACAGAGAACCCCATGGTGTCTGAGTGCTAGAATGAGCAGATGCTGTGAAGATGACTATTATACTTCTACAAGCACCTGCAGGGATGTGACGGGGCCACCGGGAATCACTCTCCAGGTTCAGAGTGTTCTTTGCTGGGTGGAGTCATTGAGAATCTGAGTTCACTTAACCCCAGCTGTTTTCAACCTCTTACCAAATAGCCTATAAGTGTTCATATTATCTTTATACAAAAACTGTTTCAGACAATCAACTACAAAAGGATAATATGGACAAATGCAACTTGGTGGGCCCATTCCAAATGCAAATGGTAGGGTTTTTCACCCCAAACAGGAATGGTATAAATAAGTCAGGCAAATAAATATAGGAGAAGTGAAATAATTCCTCCTCTCCCATCAGCTGATCAGGTAAAGCACCCTGATACGTTTTTTTCCTGGGCAGCACGAAAATCTAGCCATCCCCGTGGTCCTCTTCCCCAGTGAGTAGCGGGGGTAATGTTATTTCACTGCTGAGTCCCTTAGTTGTGTGTGTTGGGGATGGGGAGCTGGGCAGCAGTGGTTTCCAATCTTGGCTGCATGTTGGAATCAGCTGAGGAGCTTTAAAAGCTACTGATGCCTGGGCCCCACCCCAGACATGCCTATTTAATTTGTCTGGAGCACATGGGTTGGGCATGGTGACTTTTCACAGCTCCCAGGTGATTGAAACATGCCGCCAAGGTGGAGAAGCACTGTGTAGGGGTAATCTGATGAACTAGAAACCACTGGAAGGCTATAGAATGACAATTTAGCTATTTAGCTAGGTCAGTGGTTCTCAATCCTGTCTGCCCACTCAAGCCACGAGCATTTTAAAAATCCCATTACCTGGATGTTCTGGTCAGGAATGGTACTTTTAATTCTTATATGCAGCCAGGATCAGAAACTACTGTTATAGGGATATTTAATCTGAATGCCAATTTACTTTCTGAATTTTAGATATATGCACCCAAACTCAGAAAAGACACACAATGCGTCACTTAGGTATCAATAAATACCAAGACAACATTTTCAGAAATCTAAATGACTCCTGAAAGTCAAGCACATTTCCATGGAACACTGTAATAATCATAGCTTTATTTCAAAATCCCATCACATGGAACTGATATAGATCATGTACCCAAGTTTGCAGAAACCAGACCCCATCGGCTCAAACACAGTGGCAGTGCAAGGAGCAGAGCACGAGTCGTGTGATGCCTCATCCAATTGCTTATTTAAAAGCCACATTCCAGGGCCAGCCGAGTGGTGCGATGGTTAAGAACTGGCTTGGGATACCAGAGGGCCCCAGTTCGGATCCCACATATGAGGGCCAGTTACACTGCCCTCAAAAAAAAAATAAATAAATAAATAAATAAATGCCACATTCCTGTGGGTTTCCTTTGTAAAATCACATTAAAAACAAAACCTGCCTCAGGAGCTCCAGAAAATGTTCAATATGCAAATGTGGTGATATGCACTGGAATGGGAAGGGCGGGCTCTCTCTAGGAGGCCAGATAAACCAGGGCCAAGGGAACTAGGTGGAACACCCATGCAAAGGCCAGCACTGGCCAAGTCCCAGTCCGGGAGAGGCTCCCAGCAGCCTCTGCTCCCGTTTGCGCTAACACACCTGTCAGTTAGCCTTGTGAGAAGGGGGCCCGGCAGCCATGGGGAGGACACATGCACTGACCTGGTTCTTTTCATGGACAGAACAGAAAGCACTGAGGAGGAGCTTAATGATGGACAAGTGATTATAGCGCGCGGCAACGTGCAAACAGGTGTCGCCTGCCTGCGGACAGAAATCAAACTCTAAGCACAGTCTGAGTGGTTACAAAACAAAACAGAGAAAGTAAAAAGAAACTATCATTTAAAAGCCGGCAGACTAGCATATAGTCTTTAAAGGGCATAGGCCTGAATTATCAGCATCACTTTCACCATAGATGTTTCACTCCCAGCTTCACAGCCCTTTGCTGCTGTCTGCAGCCGTTCATTTTCCACCATACAGGTTCCCTGCTTTCAGGTCTCACCCACTGGATGCCAGTATCTCCCCACAAGACCTTCTCACGAGCTAAGGCAGGCTCACTTACCCGGAGCTTGATAAGAATCCACTGACCCCAGCCTCTCCTTACAACCCAAAGGCTCTGGAACAGATTGAATTAAAACCAAGAGCAATGCTTTGGAAATGAGCCTTTCACGTCATAGATTAGGTTGGTGCAAAAGCAATTGTGGTTTGTGCCATTATTTGTAACGGCAAAAACCGCAATTTCTTTTGCACCAACCTAATATCGTGGCTTTAAGGACAGGGCAGCAGGGCAAAGCGTTGCCTTTTAAGATCACACCCCATTTTAGTTGGACCCCAACATCCCGTATGAAGCAATGTAGTCTGGGAAGCTGACGAAGCAGAAATCACTGGGCGTAAAAAAAGGCACCCAGAAACACTCTGGACCAGGGTCTTCCTTCGTGGTCACAGGCCAGACTGTTCCCAAAGGCACAACAGCAAAACTGGAGACAAAGGCGTGATATTCTGCAATGTTCTCTTGACACTTTTATTCTAGCTCTATCTAGAGATGGCAACCACTCGGCATAACCCGTCTCCCCTAGATTAAGAAGGAGCCAAGTGCAAAGCTGAGGTTCAGAGCAATCTGAGAATCACCTCAGGTGGATCTACCCCAATCAGGAAGACCCAGGTGAAGGCCATTTTTTGAGAGAAGCCTCAGTCAGACCCTCTAATTGAGCAGCTGAGGCCTGGGGCTTATAAAGGAAACACAGCTTCTTGTGGAGAGAGGAGGGACACCCATGTGACCTCTGAGGTCAGGCATCCTCTAAGAACTATTGACCCATCACTTATCCCCAAGATGCCTCAGTAATGGATTTGCAGATGCTGGGCATGAATCATCAGAAGACCACCCCTGCACGCGTCATCCCGTATGTACTAACAGTACACGGGTGGAGACCTTAAGACATTTAGAGGGTTCCTAGACTCATTCACCAACGCATGCTATAAGAAATCATAAAACAAACCGAGCTTGAGGAGCGAGGGGAAAACGATGGGAGAAAAGCGTTTCCGAGTCTTTTGACTCCTCATGCCCCGAAAAGACCCCTTAGGAAATTAGCAAAAAAAAGAACACTTTCTAGATAGTCCCCAAACACTTTACATTTTTATTTTCTAGATGTGAACACGTAAGGATGCGTTCAGGGTTATTTTCTGAGATGACACGAGAGCGCGAGAGAAGACCGTTTTGTTCACGCACGTTATTTTTGAGGTCGGCGCGGGACCCGCCCAGCAGGAGGACGCGTGTGCTCTGGGAGTGGCTGTTCTGGCAGGCCAGGTGCAGGGCCGTGTTCCCCGCCTTGGAGAGAGGCAAGAGAAGGGAGGACACATTAGCCACGCGCTTCTCTGCACACCCGCACCGGGCAGGCCTTGCAGAGGGTGATACCTTACAGAAAAAGAGGAAATGCTCACATTCTCTGCTTCTGGATCGGCGGTCCCAGAAGGGGTTTCAGTGGCAGGAACATTTAATTTGGAATCCAAACAGGCAGAAAAGGCACATCTATCATAAAACCTTGGTTCCAAGTCCTGGCTCTGCCACTTACAAGCTGAAAGCCACTGGCCAAGGCTCTTAATATTCTCAGCTTTGCATTCCTTACTTGTAAAATGGAGCTTGCCCCCTCTATGCTGAGGCCGTGAGCACCGACTACCCAACGCAGATAAAAGCTGTGGTTACAATACTACCAAATGGAGCACAGAGGGCAAAACAGGCCACTTCCTGTACGTGTAGGCTAAAGGTAGCTGAGATTATACTATAGCCTTTTTCAAACCATCTGTTCTTGTATTTTTCTTGAAACAACAAAATCTGAGCTTATGGACAAGGTCCCCGCATAACAGACTATACAACTGCAGCTGTCACTTACCATACAGATAGAGTCCTCCTTACTTTTTGACTCTACCTTCAACATGAGAGGCAGCATGAGAGCAGCTTTGGGGTTGGTCTGAGAGAGCCGGTGAGCTCTCAGGAGGTTAAAGACATAAATAATGTTTGTTCTGATAAGCTTAAAAGCTGGGACAGGACTGTAGTTACATGGGCGCCGAGCTGTTACACTGCCTGTCGATGGCTTTTTCCACACCTAGTTTATTCCTGGATCACACAGCCCTGTCTGCCCTCACTCAAGGATGTTATATTCCTCCCCTTTTGAAAAGAGGAATTTAAAAAAAAAAAAAAAAAAGAGGCAAACTGTAAGTCAGCAGTTCACTTACCTTCCCCCTCATAACCTTAGCTCTAACCAGCCTGGGTAGAGTCTTTCTTCCTCGCTGTTACCTCCAGGAACTGGGAGGAGTTGCAAGCCTGAGATTTGAGTGAGTGCAATGGCTATGAACCCTTTGCTGCCCTTAAAAATCACCTAGGGAGCCTTTAAAACTTACCCATGCACAGCTGCAACCCTTCCAAGGACTCTGATTTACTGGGCCTGGGGTCTGGGGTCTGGGCTGGGATCAGGTTTTAGCACTGAGGTCAAGCATTCTGGGAAACCCCTCAGGCTAGGGCAAACCGAGCTGGTCACCCCAGGCTCGGTCATCAGGGTAGGTGTGGGTTCTCCCCCACCCTATTTTTGTTGTTGTTGTTTAAAGTTTCCCAGGAGATTTTAAACTGCAGCCAGGTGGAGAACTGCTAGCTTAGTTCTCAAAAACCAAGGATCTGCCCATGTTTTAAACACTGCATTTCTTGTGAAAGGGCTCAGTGCTTATAATTCTCCTTGCCCATGTAGTCGGTTGTCTCAAAGTTGTTGGCTTCATGGGAGTCATTAAATATGTGTTGAATAAATGAGTGAAATAAAAGAAATCCGATGGTTCTAGAAATATATCATACCAAAATTCGCTATATCAATAAGAAAATATCAATTATGTTGAAAAGCATTAGGATCAAGAAAATGAAAAATATGGGTTAGGATAAGCAAATTATGGCACATCCATACAATGGAATATTACTCAACAATAAAAAGGAATGAACTAATCATACATGTTAACAACATGGGGAAATCTTAAAACCACTACACTAAGTGAGACACAAAAGGCTGCATGTTATATGATTCCATTTAGATGATACCCTGGGAAAGGCAAAGCAAATCGATGGAGCTAGAAGTGGGTGTGTGGGTGGATGGGAGATTGCCACCAAAGGGCACAAAGGAACTTCGTGGGGTGATGGAAACATCCAATGTCTTGATTTTGGTGGTGGTTACACAGCTGTATACATTTGTCAGCACTCACAGAACAGCATACCGAAGGATGAACTTTACTGTATATGAATTATACCTCAAAACCTGACATTAAAAAATATGTGACCTCAGTAGATAACAGAAGCAGGCATTTTTCCCACCCTGAATAATGAGTACTGATTTCCTAGAGGGACTGCTACCCTCGCTGAGGAGGAAGTACATTTCTTATACAATGCAATATCATTCAGCCTTAAAAAAGAAAATCCTGTCATTTGCAACAACACAGATGAAACTGGAGGAAATTATGCTAAATTAAATAAGCCAGACAGAGAAAGACAAACACTGCATAGTATCACTTATATGTGGAATAAAAAAAAAAAAAAGTCAAATTCAGAGGAACAGAGAGTAGAAAAGTGGTTGCCAGGGGCTGGGGATGTGGGGTGGGGAATAGGGAGAAGTTGGTAAAAGGGTACAAACATTTAAAGATAAACAATGTCTGAGGATCTAACGTACAACATGGTGACTATAGTTGGTAACACTGTATTGTATCATTGTAATTTACTAAGAGTAGAATTATCACTAAATAAATAAAGGTGAATGTGAAGTGATAGCTATGTTAACTAATTAACCGATGAGGGAATCCTTTCACAATGCATACAGGTATCAAATTATCACTTGTACACTTTCAATATCTTACAGTTTTATTTATCAGTTATACCTCAATAAAGCTGGGGGAAAAAAATGAATAAGAACCTTTCTAGAAGTTTCCCCAGAGGCTGTGGCTGGTACAGAACATACAAGTCTCTTGTCTGGGATGGCACTTCACCTGCGCTTCCAGCAGCTTGTGCTCTTTTCTCTGGAACGAGAACTTGTGGATTTCCACAATACTTTGGGGGCCCTGCATAGAACAGGAGGCAGTGTGGCGGGGCAGACAGAACTGGTTTACAGTCCTAATTGTGTCACAAACGAACCATGTGTCTTAGTCAAGGGCTGTACGGGCTCCCAGCTTAGCCTTCCCTATTCGTTAACTGGGAACCACCTACTTCTCATCGTTGGTATCAATCTAACAACTCATGTTTCAGACTATGTACCACTTTGAAGAAATGGAGCAGCCACTAGCCATCCTGCCAGGCAGGGAGCCAGGCATTACTGGAGATGTTATGATGCATGGCTTGCTTCTGTTCCTTAAGCTCTTGACCCAAGAGGGAACCATAAGAAACATGTATTCAGCAAATGACAACACAAAGCTGTGTGCAGTGAGTGCCACAGGAAACAGCCCCACGGGCCAGGGAGGCACCACTGTCCGGGGACTGGGTTGGAGGTCCCTGCAGGCAGAAACAGGGAGCAGGCTGCCTCTAGAGGAGTGGGCAACAGGAGGGGACAGTGAGCCCAAGCTGACAGCGCAGAAGGCACATGCTGGGAAAGGCACAGGGAGGAGGCTGCAGATGGAGGATGGGGCGACTCTGGGAGGTCCCCAGGCAGCATCTGGCTGAGGAGCTTTCCTGGAAGGTTTCTGAGCAGAGGAGGAGGACGGAGATGGGACTCAGCAAGCTGGTGAGTCTGCTGTGGGGCTTCTGAAATAATCCAAGGACAGATTAATAATGAGCATGGAAGGAGAGGGACAGATGTGAGAGGGATGAGACGTGACAAGGCACTAGAAAGGGGAGACAGGGGCAAAGAGGGAGAAGAGATGCCATTGTCCGTTCCCTGTCTCCATGAGGACACCCACACTCTAATAAACCGATGGAAAAGGAGTGAGAACCAGGAGACTTCAAAGGAAGCCAAAGCCACTCAAGTAGGTTCTCTCGCTCTCCAAGGGGGCTGTGCTCACGAAGCAGTTTCAAGCTTTCATTTCCCTGGACAGGTTCCACATGCTCCCCGGAGCGCGCTCTGCTCTGTGAGAGGAGGCTCCTGTCACAGGGAAGGGAGCCCGCAGCCACCCTCACCTGTGAATGAGGAGTTCTAGCACCTGCCGGCCTCACCTTGTTCTTGGCAAGTACGTTGGCTCCTGCTTTAACGAGCAGCTTGACTGATTGGCTGAAACCGTGCCAGGACGCTTCGTGCAGGGCCGTGTTCCCGTCCTGAGGAACACACGCACAGAAAGAAAGCACGTTACCCAAGACCTCATTCACCCCCTCATAATCAATATTCTCAGAGTGTGTTTTTAGGGCACACCACAGGGCCTTTCTCCATTGGGGTTTCTCGTCTGAACCACAGAGCACAGAAAATGACTCGAGTGGCCAGTTTCTCCATTGTCCCAGAAATGGCACAGAACAAGTTCCATTCTACATGCATCCTAGATTCATGACACAACGGGGGCCTTCGACATTAGAGCTTTAGTCTCTTTGGGAACACCGGTGGAGAAAGGCACAGTCACACTGAACAGAAAGCAACATCAGGACAGCATGATATCCGTTCCTTCCCACCTCCATCACCCCTTGGGCTCTGCTCTGCTCCTGGCCTCAGAGAGAACCCTGCAAAGACTGGGTCAATGAAGGGTCCAGCTTCATCAATCCCAGGGCCCAAGGACCAGAGAGATAGATTCAAATTTTAATCTCACCCAGCTTCATCCAAAAGCCTCAGGGCCCCAAACAAAAGAGCAGGCACTGAGAAAACAGTGATTTGGAAACAAGGTGGTGTCCTCAATATGTGGCTTTTCAATAAAAATCAATCAATTAAATGGCGCTTGTATGTGCTTAACTTATTATAAAGAAAAAGAAATATTCAGTGTAACCAAGTAGTGGGGTGGGGCATGGAGGGGAAGGGCTGGTGGGGAGCATGGAAAGGGGAGGTAGAAATGCCCTCTCTGCTGTTCCAGGCCAGGGTGCTGGGCAGTCAGCCGGGGGCAGTGCAGGTGAATCCTCCAACTATGTCCAGGGTCTGGCTTAGACTTTCATTCGCCCACACCAATAGACAAGGCCTAGTGCTGCTGCTAGCCACAAGGGGAAGTCTAGGTTCTCAAAGACCATGCGTGGTACCTAAGGAACCCGGGAGTGGGGCATGCTGGGAACGTGAGTGGGATGTGTGGTCTGGATGGTGGGACTGACTGCAAGAAGCGGGAAGCAAAAGGGAAAGTGACTGGGAGGGGCCGCTGGGTGCCGGTGATCATCTGCTTCTTGATCTGGGTGCTCATAGATGTGCTCAGGTAGCATAGATGTGCTCACTGAGCTGCACCCACGGTGTGTGAACATTTCTGTCTATATACATTAATAACAAGTTGTTTAAAAACGTTAACAGGCCGAATTGCACTTAATTGCAAAGTTCCATGTTTTAAGACTGGATTAATATAGGTCATTGGGATTTCTTAAAAACTTGCTTTTGCTTTTTTTTCTTCCAATATAGTTTTAAAAATTAACTTGCTCAGGGCCGGCCGAGTGGCTCAGTTGGTTAAGAGTTGGCTTAAGAGCGCGAGCTCTGAGCAACAGGGCTGCCGGTTCAATACCCACATGGGCCAGTGACGCTGCACCCAAGTTGAGCTGTCGCTGAGCTGCCAACAGGTGGCAGGGTGGCTCAGCTGGTGTAACAACAAGATTGCCTATTCAATGGTGGGCTATGCCCACCAGCAACTAAGACTGAATTCGGCACCTTGAGCTGAGCTGCTGCCCGGATGGCTCAGTGGATATGGGTATGCGCTCTTAACAACAAGGTTGCTGGTTTCACTCCTGCATGGGATGGTGGCTATGCCCACCCACAACTAAGATTGAACACAGCACCTTGAGCTTAGAGGCCACAAGCTGCTGGCAGAAAGCCAGACAGTGACTGGCACCCTCCACAACAAAGATTGAAGAACAACAACTTGGCTGGTCACCTACTCCAATTCCCCAATACTGTTCCCCTCCCCCAATTCCCCAATTAAAAAAAATTAACTTGCTCACTTATCAAAAAAATAATTAATTTAAATAAATAAATAAATAAATAGATGAAATAGAGTCTGAGGGGGGGGGGAAGTTGGGCACATGCTTTCCCCCATCCAGGACTCCACAGGTCATTACTTCTAGACGTTTATTCCTTTACCATGTATATTTATGTGGTTACCTACTCTGCCACAAAACAGAGGAAGAATTTTTTTTTTAATTTAACTGGGATATCAGATATTCTTTCAAAGGAAATTTGGGCTAATTTCATCATGTTAAATCATGAGCTATAAGACTCAGGAAAGAGAACATCTTGCAAGTGGGTTCTCAGGCTGGTACATCCCCCTTCACCTTGTCTTGTCGGTCCAGGGCACAGCCCTCCTGGATGAGTGCGGCAATGACCTCGGTGTTCCCCACCACCGTGGCCCGGTGCAAGGCGGTCTGATCCCCCTGCAGAAAGAGGCAGAGGCAGGAACAGGGGTCAGCTCTCTCCACCACCCTTGCACCACTCACTCACTCACTCACTCTGACACAGGACATCTCCCACACGGAGCAGATTGGTCCCCATGGGTGAGGCGGGCTTTGCGGTCTGGTTAGTAAAAACGCACACCAGGCATAGCAATTCTGTTCAGTGGGAACCTTAAGCCAACAGCAGAACAGCTCTCAGCCACAGAGCTGACCTCAGAATACGGGTCAAGCCCTCACCTGCTGCCCAGAGGAGGTGGCAGTGCTCACCTGGGCTGTGACTGTCATATCTGTGAAGGGCAGATCTGAGAGCAGGACTGTGTGTGCTATGCAATTATACCAGCAATGCCTGGAATCTTTACTCCCTACTGAGTTCTTTCGCTCCCTGCTTTCAGGGAAATCACCATCCAGCTATGTTAGTGAGCAGGACTCATGATTGGATGGCAGGCGTGTATTTGTTGATTGACTTGTACTGGCCGAGAGCAATGTAGGGGGTTACACCATGTCCTCTGAGGACTCCAGGGATGGCGAGCGATCACTGCATATCTCTAAGAAGCCTCTTCTGACATTTTATGACAATACCCTCACTGATTTATACTGCATTTGACCCTTTTCTCTGCGATCAGATTCCTGGAATGGCAGACCTTCTCTCTCTCCATCAAGGTGCCAAAGGGAACTTGACTCCCTCCCCTAATTGCAGTTGAGGGAAGGACTAAATGCTCCTTGAGGTAAGATGGTCAAGACTGTAATGAGAGAGAGTTCAGAAGTCCCTAAGAGCACATCTTATCTCTGACATGTACTCAGGAAGTCAGGCTGAGACAAATCAAGTCCAGCCTGGGGTCCAGGTTCAAATGGGGAGGTGGATGGTCAGCGTGGAAATTTTCTGGTGGGAAGGAAGGTGCACAGGGCAAGGAGGTGAGGAGATTTAAGTGCCGCGCAGCCCTGGGAGACACCTGTCACCCCACTGGGCCTCAGGTCCTTCCCCTGTAACAGGAGGGAGTGGGTGATCCCCAAGGTCCTTCCCTCCCCTTCTCGGGTTCTGTGATTTGGTTGATATGAGTTGTGCATAAATGAGGTTTCCTGGTGGAGCACCAGAGGGGCAAAGAACGTACCCTGTGGTAACCCTGGTCCTTAACCCAAGAGAACAATGAGAGACGATTGTAAGGTCGAAAGCATGAACATTTTTTCAAAGAGGGATGCGCCACTACTTGTAAATAACCCTAATGAAATGCTGATTCTAATTACTAATCTCTCTGGAATCTATAACAAACAACAATGTACTTTAAAAGCCCTTAATCAGAAAAACAGTTCTGGCAATGGGGGGTGGTGATGGATGCATAACAATGTAAATGTATTTAATGCCACTGAACTGTAAGGTTAAAGTGGTAAATTTTATGCAATGCACCTTTTATCACAACAAAAAAGCACTTAATGCTATGTAAAACTCAAATTCACTTTCTTAAAGTTAAAAAAAAAATCTCCCTTTAAAAATCCACAAGTGACTTTTACTTTTTTCCTTGTACTTTTTAATATGTTCCAACTTGTTATATTTAACACTTAATTTTTAGCATCAGGAACAACTGCTATTTATTAAAAGTCTGAGCTGTAACAATGTAACAGTTACAGGACTATCCGTGTCTCAGAATCTTTTCTCACTGTTCATTCACAGAGTTTAAGGGATTTTTACAGTGATGGGTTGCGACACCCAGCCCCTTTACCATGACTTCATCCACCGTCTGCAGCATTTCTATCAGCAGCCCTCCCCTCTGCATCCTATGCTATTATTCCCATTATAAAGTAGTTTAGACTTGGCTTTCTCCACTTTCCTAGACCCCCTATTCAAAGAGGACACTTTCTATGTGGCATGCAGGCAAAAGAAGAATGCGGCCACTGGATCTACGGTTGCAGGGGGTACGCCAAGCCATCACACTTCAAACAGCTTAGGAAGTGTTTCCAGGTGAGGTATACTTAAAGCCCAAACAAGTAATCATATGAGAAAGGGCGTAAATTTTGACTTTTTAAAACTTCTATAGGAATTTTCAAGACTGCCCATTTCCCTATCAGAATGGCGATGAGTTTTCCCAAAATGTACCTCAAGTGCAATTTATGATTACTGAGCTGATGAGAAGGATGGCACTGTTCTCAGCAAGAAAGGTGAGACTACAGCTCCCTCGTTCAGGTTAAATACTGACTTGGTCAAATTTCTAATGGTTAGAGGCCTTTTAATATTCCCACAAACTGCTGGCACTTTAACTAGCACCCCTTGGACCAATCAGAACAACCTTTTTACATCATGAAACTTAACCATTCTGCCCATGTTGTGCATAAAGTGTGAACAAGCCCTAGACACATGGGTCGTGTCAGCCACTCTCTTGCCGCACGAGTCATCGCACAAAAGGCCTCAGCTGATTAGGGCACAGTCTACCCTAAGCCTTGCTTTAGGTCAAATGTTTTATCGTGTTTCACAAGCTGCCACTAAATCATGAACTGAGGCAGCTTTGGAGCCAGGATGTCACCATTATTTATTACTTGCTTTCAGCATGAGTCTACTGTATTTACTTCCCTTGAGATAATTTTCTTTTGTGAAACTCTACCTCAATTCAAGAAGCTAAATCTAACTTTTGGTTCAGCCCTTAGGAGTCCATTTCCAGATGGATTATCAAGACAAGGCTCAAAGAGATCTAACGGCTTGTGAGGCTGCAGAACACAAATTGTCCCCAACCAACTGGCACAGGTGTTTCCTGCATCTTCCCTTTCTCTGCAGAGACCTTTTAGCTGCACTCCTTGTCTCCAGGCCACAGCTGCCCCTCCATTTTTACTCCCTCAGAGAGAGATTTCCCTTAAAGCCTGGGTCCTTGAGGAAAAACACTGCTGTGAAGGCCAAAGTCAGCCATTCCCCAACACAAGTGGCTGTCCTGGCCTATGAGCTTTGTTAATACTAGATGGGGTAGTTCGGGAGGACTGAGTGAGACACATCTAGTGTATAAAAACCAGCCACCCTTAAGTTACCAAGAAGAGAATTAAAAGCTCTGGAAGCCATGCAATACATAAGCAAAGGGCTGCCTCAGGCTGTCTATCTCAGAGCTGCTCGGGCCAGAACACAACACAAACAACTGAACAACTTGAGACCCTCATCTGGAACAGGGTCAGTTACCTGTGAATCAACTTTTCCTCCTATAAAACTAAACTTTACTGTTGAAATATTTCCTCTTTGAAATATGACACAGAAAAGAACAAAATGTGTCCTCAATACATAGTTACTGACAGACCCAAGCAGCAGCAACTTTGACATAATCCTTATTTCTATATGATTTAAATCAAATATGAAATTCTAAAAACTTGGATAAATAAAGAAAGCTGGGAAAAGTATAAGAGAATAGAATAGAATAGAATAGAAATAGAACAGAAATGCTCAACAGCATTTACTCCTTATTTATTCAGTGAATATGTATTGAACCCCTACTATGCTCCAAGTGCCATGGCATCGAATTCTCTCATTTTATTTATTTAAAAAAAAAAAGAAAAGACCAAGGCCCAGTGCAGTTCAGTGCCTAGCTTAGGATAACCAGCTAATAATTCAGGGTACTATGGTTGGGCCAGAATTTAAATTGTCAAGGATCTTTGTGCTGACTCCTGTTTCCAGTCTGTGAAGCCAATTAACCTTAGAACAGGCCTTAAAAAAGATCAGGTACCTCCACGGGGCTGAGCCACCTCTCTATGGCATCATCAAGCTAAGTGCTGTATACAGCACAGTGCCATGGCCACTATAGGTGCCCAAGAAGCAGTCGTTGAATGATTAGCTGCAAATAGGAAAAATGCTGCAGCTGGAAACGTGAAGAGCCAGCAAACTTGCCGTTTGGCACTTTGATCTGGAACATGTTGACCTGTTTGCAAAGTACACGAACTGCCAGATCTCAATTTTTCTAAGACATCGGTGTTTCTTACTTTGGGATTTTAAGAGGTTTGGAACCTCTGAGGTCTAAATCTTTGTTTTGAAACACTTTTAGTATTCTTTCCTATACGGTGAAAGAGAGTGAGCATAGTGCGGGCAGATTCTGAAGCTAAGCTCGTGAAGGAAACCCCAGTCATGCAAGGGTGGCAACGTCCCTTTTCGGGAGGCACAAGCAGACATGTTACAAGGAAGCTCAAGACAGGCTAGGTGCACAAAGCAAGGTGCTGACCTCTTTTTCTCTCTCTGATCTTCTAGGGTTCTTCCTAGCCTTTCTTCTCTGGTTTTTCTTATTTTTCTCTTCCTTCATGCCTTTTACTGTGGCCACAGGGTCCTGGACTATTTCTGAGGTGGGGGCTGTGTGATTGCTCATTGACCAATCAGAGATGGCGTTAGAGCTCCAATGAGAGTTGACAGGATTGGCGGGAAGCAAGAGGGAGTTTGCTCCTGGAGTTGCATATTCTAAAGAACTGGTTTCCACAGGTTCAAATTCATAATAATCCCACTCCAGGCCACTGGAGGTCATTCTTCAACTAATTCTCAGTCTTTACCATGACATTAAAGAACAGTATCTGTAGAATATGAAGTTAGGGGTGAATGGTTCATAACATTAACATTCTCTATTTCTACCCCATCATCCAAGACAGGTAACTTCTGAAATGATTTTTTCCAAATCTCCCAGCTTCTTTAAAGAACACCCATAAAGAGTTTTCTTTCTCAAGTTCTTGCATAAGTTTCAAGGTTGATGATCAGCAAGCATGGTAAATATACATAAAAGACAGACATGAACCATATTCTGGCAAATGCATTACTTTAGAACGAGTGAAGGTCCACTCCACCTTCTCTACTCTCATCTGGTTTTTCACTGTTTTGTTGTTGTGTTCTTATTTTGTTTTGTTTTAAGATACCTGCGAGAAGCAATGCACGCATTGACTGTTTAAGGTGGAGAAGATGCAAGAAAATAAATACTAATTCCAATAATGAAAAAGGGTGCTCCTGTTTTTAACAGCTCCTGTTAAAAGCAGAGCTGGCTTTTTTTCGGCTGCCATAGCTACACTGACATGACCGCCCTTGGTTACCTTGTGAGAAGTCCTGCCTGTTTTACTTCCTGTCTTGCCTGTTCTAGGAAGTTAGCATGGTTTTTGCTGAATAAGAACACAGTTGTAGGGCCGGCCAAGTGGCTCAGTTGGTTAAGAGCTTGCTCAAGAGTGTGAGCTCTGAGCAACAGCGGTTCAAGTCCCAGCCCGAGCTGAGCAGCCGCTGAGCTGCCAACAGGTGGCAGGATGACTCAGCTAATAAAAAAACAAAAACAAAAAAAACCACAGTTGTACTCAGACCTAAGGCAGGAGTGCTGGATTGGGATAGGTCAGCATGCCTGGCATTGCAGCCCTGCCACCATGACAAGCAAGGGCTTTAATTACGCAAAGAGAACAGATGTATCCCAACACATGTGCACCAGCGACTCCATGCCCTGCCTTTTCTGTGGTCAGAATCTCTTCTCTCTCCCTGTATATTTGCTCCTGTCTTCTAAGGATATGATATAATCAGGGATGTTATGATGGCTACAATACAGGGAAATAAAGTATTATGACCCAAGGTGAAAATCAATAGCTTAAGGCAAAGTCAGCATCTTTTGAAAATAACATTTTTGATGACCCAACAGCTTCCAAATATAACCAGAGATTTATGAATGACACTGGACAGCCTTCTGCCCATCATAAAACAATGACATATTTAGTTATTTCTTTGCAAATGCTGTCCTTCTCGCTGTGTGTTGGCCAAGTTTTAGAACATTTCACAGAAGGCCAAAGGACACGTGAAGCACTTTGGTAATGCACACCCTAGCATACCTGAGGGTCTGAAACGTGATAACACTCTGTAACCACAGTTATTAAAAGTGAATCTGGAAGAGGTAGTAAGTGCAAACTCTTCAAGAGTCTGTTTCTCACAAAAGTGCTTATTTCTTAGGATCCTACTACACAAATTAGAGTTAGAAACAGAAGTAGAAACACATTACATTCCAATCACATTATCACAGGACTTTTTTCTAATAGTTCATTGGAGGACAATTTACATAATCTTTTCTATATCCCCTTCTTAGAGAAGCTGCCTTTCCCAAAGACCCAATAGGGCACCCCACGTACTATATGACCCCACCACATCACTGCTGATTGGCTCAGGAATAGATACTTGACCCCAAAGGAGCCAACTGGAGTCTCCCTCTAGGTAACTTGAATGAAGAGACTCAGAGGCTGAGTATTAATGGTATAGCACCAGAGTGACCCCTTTCGGGAAGCCTCCTTTTTCTTAGATTCCATGAGATAAGTTTTGTTTTCTTTGAACATGTTGTGTTAAACTAAATGTACACTGACAGAGGAATCAAGGTGAGAACAGGAATAAAGTTAAGTTTTTAAGCCCCACCTTTTCGCCAGTGGTAAGCTTGGTCAGTAACATCCATTTCCAGCAGGGCTTGCCCAGTCTCACTCGTGTGTGTGTGTGTGTGCGCGCGCGCGCGCACGCGCGCGCGCGTGGTGTGTTATTTCCTACTAAGACAGGACACAGGCAAAAAGGTCCTTTGAGGCTCTGCACTTCAATGATATTAGATCGAAAATGAACTATGACGGGAAATATCACCCCACACTCCCAAACTCTAACTTGCTACTGAGAATGGGTCCCAGAGCAGATCTTCAAAAAGATATGCTTCCCCACCATAAGGACTAAGATGGAGATAAAAAGTGCTGGAGGGCATCTACTACCCTCCCACCTCATAGCTGGCTACAAGCTGTGCTGTGGAGCAGACAAGCTTCCCTGACAACCCATCCCCTGATAGAATGAGGGCTTCTACTCACATCATCCTGGACATCGAGGTCACAGCCAGCCTTCAGCAAGATCTGGACCACAGAAAGATGGCCCTTATTGGCAGCAAGATGCAGGGGGGTCCGCCCATGCTGTTAATGCAAAGCAAACACTGATTTCAAAACAGGACACCAAAACCACATCCCTGGAGCAACGATGCACAGCGGCACGCCCCTCTCCCCTCAGGCTCAGCAGGACATTCCTATGGGTTTACTCAGAATTCAAGTTTGTTTCATTTAGCATTGGCTATTGGCATTGAAATCAATGAACAAAATATGCTCAAAATGTGAAGATTTTCTTTAGTGCATAATTTCTACTCCCCACTCATCAAACTAACAAGTAGGAAAATGAGGGGGCTCCATGGTTTCTCTTATTTTCTCACTGGTGCTAATACTCACTGATGAATGGCTACAATGAATCTGATGGGGCAAGAGATTGGGTCAACAGCAAAAGGCCAAGCTAATCAGCCCCAGAAAAACCTGATTAATAATTACTCAGAATTGAAACTGCTGGCCAAACTGATCAGAATGAGGTCTCCCCTTTTTAAAAACAAATTACAAAATATTCCAGCCACTCAAAAAGATGAATATTTTAAAATGTACATACCCACTAATCACTTTAAAAAAACATGAGAAAAACCACGGCCATTCCTTGTGAACCCTTCCCAGATCCTATTTCCTCTCCAACCACAGAGGTCACCCCTCTTAAATTTGCTATTCATCATACCTTTGCCTTTTGTTATATTTTACTACCTGTTTGTAGCCATAAACAATACATCCACATTGTTCTGCTTGTTTTCAAACCTTACATAAATAGTATTAAATTGTACAATTTCATTTGGCAATTTGTCCAGTATATTGCTGAGATTTTTTTTTCATATTGTCACATGTAGTTCTGGTTCATTTATCCCACCGTTCACCCATGCTCCTGATGGGCATGCAATGGGTTCCGGTGGTCTGCAGAACACAGGTGTGTGCGCCTCTCCTTGTGCACCTGATAAGGCTTCTTAGCCCTACAGTTGGCTCTGAGAGGTGACCATTCCCTTTAACTGCCCTAAGCTGTGGCTCCTGTGGTACGAAACGGAGGGTGACATCCAGAATAACTCTCTTCAATACAAGTCAACTTCTATCCCGAGAACTGACCTTGCCCAAATTCTCCAAATTCTAAAGGAGACACTATGCCCCCTTTGCTTTCTCCCTCAAGATCTCTGTGGAGAAATGTTTCCACTCCATTTCAAACATCATTTCACCAGGGCCCCCAGCCATGCTGAAACTCACCTGGAGGAATAAGAGTCTCACATGGCCTTAAGTCCTTTTTAGCATCTCGATACAACTTCCCAAAGACCTTCATTGATATTCTAGCAGGATAAACCTATTTATGATCTCAGTAAAGTGCCAGTTTTCCATGGGTAACTAGCCGTGGAGGAAAACAGCAGATAATAAAGGATCCGAATTTCTACCCATGAAATGCAATCAAAGCACTAGAATGATTCTGGAAAGAAAGAGGTCAGAGCTCACTTTAAAATTAGAATTCTTAATTAAGAAAAAGTTACTCCCAAGAAAGTGGGATATAAAAAGCCTTCCAAAAAAAAAAAGGGTAATGTCTGAGATGCAGAATGACCTTGCTTGGCTGGCGATTGTGCTCAGTGCATGCTGCTTAACCTTGATTCTTTAAATGAAATGTCCACAGCTTATCAGATGGAGCCAAGTAACTGGGTCCCACTCATTGGGCCTGGTCCCAGGCTTCATCTGTCATCATGTGTCCTCATCAAGGATATCGGATAAGTGACCTTCACAAAATCTCTAAGGCATTGTGCAACACAGGGATGTTCATTACATGCGCGAGGAGCAAGACATGTGTGCTGTGAACAAGGCTGACAGGATGGGGGGAAAAGGGTGCTTTTGAGCAACTGGAAAAAACAGACCACGATGGGGAGAAGTTACCCAAGAGAGGCTGGAAACGAGGCCACAAGCCGAGAAGTCACTGGGTGTTGGGGATCAGGGGGGCCCTGAGGAACATCCAGTCAGCAATCAGATATTACTGGTGGGAAGCAAAGCCCAAAAGGTGAAAATGTTTGTCCAAGTGAACACAAATCGTCAAAAGTCAAGAGAAGGAAACGCTGCTGCGGCTCGAAACCGGTCACATCTGAAGGGCGCTTTAGAAACTGTAACTTACTGACAAGATGGCACTGGACTGGAGGCACCTTCCTAATCCAATCAGCAGAGAATCTCCTCTGTAGAGAAAGGAAAGGCCAGAGGCTTCGGAGCCTGAGGAGCCGAGTTCAAATCCCAGCTCTGGCTTCACTCTCCTAAGCCTGTTTTCTCATTTGTAGAACAGAAATGGCCTCCACTCCCCACCCCATGGAAATAGGATAAATGAGGTAACAGCCACCATCTAACGCGGGATTCCTTTCCCTCCAGCTATCCTCATCCCTCACCCCTGAAGGCACCCCAAATGCCCCCTCTCCTCCTTGACACCCCCACATGTTTGCCTTTGCAAAGACCAGTGACATATTTTCAAAGACGAACTGGATAGCCCTGGGCAGAGTCGGTTCTCCGATCACTTGGCCAGCCAGATGGGCCCCGGCAGGAGGGTCGGTGCTCCTACAAGGCAGTCCTGAGCCACTCGCCCGTTTCCATCTTTGAAACATAGTCCACGGTCCCAAGTGTCCGTGTCTCTGCTGGAAGGTCCTTCTTTACTGTGAACGCCATCTCCAAACTATGCCTTCTCCAATTCCCCAAGAAGAAATGTTTCTGGCCTTATCTTCTCCATTCCCACAGCACTCCAGGTCCCTTTTAGGAAATCGCCACATTCTGTTTTGAGTGTCACCCTGGGTGCTGGCTTTTTCCAACTAGACCGTGATCTCCCTGAGAACGGATATGCCTTCCACAAATGACGAAGCAAGCCGACTCTAGGGTATGGGAGGTTGGGGGGCATATCAAAGAGGTTCCAGTGATCCTCAACCACAGGGCAGGCTGAGGCTACCAGGGACGTGGAGCAAATCCCACAGTTTCAGGCTCGACCTCAGAGACATGGAGAGCCTGGGACAGCTGCAGGCTGTAAGTTCTAGGATGTCCTGGCCCCTCAGAGGAGGCGTAGACATCCTGGGGGCTTCACAAGCATTTAAGCAGCTGCAACAGTGACATGGGGGCTTCTCTGAGGAGGTTCAATGTCTGCCTCACGTGTCTGGTTCCACTTCTGACACCGGCATAGCAGTAGCCAAGGCAGTATGCTGAACCTACAGCTGTCCACTCCTGTTCCCTGGGCTTCCCTAACACAAGACTAACTCCCCTTAGACACATATACACACCATCACCACCACTACCACCCACCAGAAGAGAGCCAGAAGAAAACAGAAATGTACTTGGTTTTCCAGAACACTCTGTAGTGAAAAGCAACAAAAGTGGAGCTATTAAGGGGAACAGCTGTTCCTGCCCAGCACACAAGTATACTCCAAAGTCATACCTGACAAGTGGGAAAGGCTGCAATGCCCTAAGTGTGAGGGAGCAAATAAAAATTAATCCTTAGAGGGATCTTTCAATGACTCAAGGATGCCCGTTTCAGCTCCATGTCCCTAGGACTGGCCAGAAGAAGAAACGGGAACAGGAGAAAACTATGTACTACGCGTGAGAAGAGGAAGATGCTCTAAAAGCATCAGTTTGTTCTGGGTCCTACCCCAGTTATCCCCAAAGACCAGCTCTACCCAACGCAACCCAGGTCCTGGTAGGCCCAGGGAGACCGACAATAATGAGAACAAGACACAGAAGCAGCTGACATTTGCAGGATGCTTACTACGTGGGAGGTACTATCCTACGAATTTTACGTGTATTAGGTCATTCAGTCCTCCCAACAACCCTATGAAATAGGCATTATTATTAAGTCAATTTTACAGATGGGGGAACTGTATGGAGAGACTCTGTCACTTGTCCCATGTCATACAGCAGGTAATTTGAGTCTGGATTCACCCTAAGCTGTCTGATCCCAGCCCCCATGCTCTGAACCCCCGCTCTAACTGCTGCCAGCTTGTGCTGTGAGGGTGAGGCTGTCCCCTGGCAGAGGAGCTCTGTCTCACTCTCAGAACTCCCAGATGCTGACCTCTGAAGGTGCTTGGATAGAACCTGGTTTCCTCAGAATCTCAAGGATGGAGAGAGGTTCTCCATTCTCACTGTACATGTGAATCACCTGGGCGGCTGGTCTGTTTGTCAGTCTGCCCACCTATCCTGAGAACCACAGGGTGAGGTGAAAAGGGGCCAGGGTAATTCTGCTCAGAGCAGCTACAGGCCCTCGGGGGAAACGTGCCTCGTTGGGCCTGTCCAAGCAAGAGTCATTCCTCTTGCTACATTCTTCATGCTCTCATCTGCACCCGTCAGTACAAAACACTAAGGCACTGCATCGCCATAACCCAGAGTTTCTGGTACCTTACAAAAGAATATAAGCAACATAATGACATTACTAAAAACTTGGAAGATAAAAGCATATCATCTGTAATGTTACTCCCCAATACAACTATTATCATTTTTACCCAGTCTTTTTCAATACATCTTTTCTATTGATGCTTTTGCACAGTTATATTCACAGGTCACATAAAACTATCCTGCTTTCTGCGTTAATATTATGCCTTAAACCAGTGCCTCTCAAACTTTACTGGGCAGCAGAATCTCCCAGAGGGCTTGTTAACAGACAGCTATCTGGACCACCTTCCAGAGTTTCTGATTCAGTAGGTCTGGAATGGAGACAGAATTTGCATTTCTGACAAGTTTCCAAGAGAAGCAGATGCTGCCAGTATGTGAACACATTTTGAGAGCTACTGACATAAACCACTGGTTTTCAACTCTGTTGCACATTAGAGTCACCTGAAAAATTCATTTTTTTAAAATCCCAAACTTTATCACCAAAGGGTTGAATTCTACCAGCCCAGGATGGGACCTGTTATGGGTGTTTTTAAAGTTCCAGGTGATTCCAATGTGCAGCCAGAGGTCATGAACCCCAGCCTCGGACCCTTTAAAGGTGCTGGTTCCTCTAACTTGCCCTGGTATCAGGATGGGCCATCTGAGACGGGCAGGGATGACAAGTCGTAGGACCCTGCAGGGAG